ATTTGTCCTTATGTGCCTGACTTATTTCACGCAGCCTGATGTCTTCACAGTTCCTCCCTGTGTGGGTGGACCATGTTCTGCTAGGAACAGTTTTGAAGGCAGATGTTGGCATTGGGCAAAGAGAGGCCAGAGATGCTGCCCATCGCCGACAGTGTCCAGGAGAGCCCCAGCACTGCCATGCACTAAGTGTGTTCAGGTATGGCCTGAGGCCCCTGAACTTTGAACGTGTCTGTGTAAACTTAACTTTGTCCATCCACTTTTGCAGTGTTCGGCCTACAGGTTGGTCTCCTCTAGGGACAGAGCCATGGGGTCACTTTCTTGGCTAAGGCTGAGTCCCTCTGGTGTCCACTCCAGTGGGGCTAGCTAGGGGTTTCAAATGTGCCCACACCATGGATAGGTCTGCATAGCTTTGCCCAGCCCCCTGGCCCAGGACCAATGCTCTTCCCCCTCAGCCCCCAGCCCCCACCAGCCCCTCTGTTCTGTGACCACACCTAGCTGCCTGGTACTCAGTTGGGTCCTCTGGTCTTCGGGACCTGTAGGAGACGTGAGCTGAGGGGCAGTCACAGGGGTAAGGTGTGTGTGGGTACCTCTCAGCCATCTCCATAAACCCCTGCAGCCAGGCCCCTGTACCAACCGCGCTGTCTACCGGAACCAGACTCTTCTCTGCCCTCAGCCGCACTCTACCCGAGTCCAGAGCAGCGTCTCCCAGCCTTCCAGGAGCCCCTGCTGAGCTGTGAATGTTGATTCTGCTCCTAGTGCAAGTCTGGGGTCCACGGCACCCACCCACTCAGCAGGACCAACTTCCTGAACCGCGTCCCCTCCATGGCAGCTCGTAGCTGTTTCCCCATCTGCTTGGAGCTGCTCTAACATCGGCTGGTGACCCTGTCTTGTGCTCAAGGGGGAGGGGGTCCCCAGCAAAGGGCCTGGGCACACAGACTGTGGGGTTGGCTGGGAGTTTCCTCCTCTACCCCCACTGTTTGTTTGTTCCAGGTGTCCTCATGGTCCCACCCTCAGCTTCCTGACATCCTTTTCCAGAGCTTAGGGAGTTCAGTGAAGCCCCTCAATCACGTTGTTTGGGGGTGCAGTTCTCCCACCTTTGTTGACTCTGCCTATGATGTTTGACTGGTACAATCCCCTCCCCATTGGTGAGAGCTGTAACCATACCCCCCTTCTCAGAAAGGGGTCCCGTCCCTGACGACTCTGGTCCTCCCAGAAGGCATCCCATGAGAGTAGGGTGGGGGAAGCCTAGGGAAGGTGACTTCCAGAGGACAGTAACCACGTTGCCCCTGACTCTCACCAGGCTCCCCGTGTGGCTTTAGCAGGACTGACCCTTCCACATGGACTTTTATCCCCATGGCTTTTGTTCTTCGTTCAAGGTGCCTCGGTCAGCAGAGGCAATCCCAGCGTGGGGGGTGGGGAGGTCCCTTCCTTCCAAAGGTGCTCTCAGTGGGGCACCCACCCTCCTGGCCCTTCAGTGCAGTCCTGCAGGCTGACCCCTTCTTGTGGGTTCTTATTGCCTCACTCCAAAGCCTCCCCCACTGCGGGTATCTTGACCCCCCCCATGACTGTGTCTGCTTACCACTACCTCCCACCTAGGACAATCTGCCCAGAGTGCTGGCTAGAGTCCTCAGGCCTGCCTGCCCCTCCCCGCTTCTTGACGTGAGCACTCAACAGCAATAGTGGGGTCAGTGGAAAGATGCCCCCCAGCACTGCCAACAGACAGATGTCCCCCACTCCCTGCCATCTGAAGAACCATCCTCTAACCAAACCATCCTTTCCTCTGGATTTGCTTTGGGGACCCCACACCAAGATACATCCCACCCAGATCCTCTGGGCCCCAAATGAGCAGGCAGGGGCCAGGCAGGCCAGCACAGTTGGTACCTGGCCCTGTGAGTTGATGTGCCTTTGTGGGGTGGGGTGGGGAGGGGAGGGTACTGAAGCATGTGCAGGCCTGCTACAGGGTCTAGTCCTGTGGTTATGGTCAGTGGGACCAGCCTTGGGGTGGACAGACACAGACTGTACTCAGACCACGAGCCACCAGGTTCCACCCACATTCCCTGAGTCTAATGGGTCCCTCAAAGTCCACCTGTGGCCAGGATTGCCCCACACCAGACTTACAGACCCCACCAAGCCCTACACTTGGACTCTGAGTTCCCAAGCAGCCCTCCTGGACCAGGGTGTTCCTGCACCCGGCGTCCTGCATCCAGGGATGGGGTTCTATCGGCAGAGCTCGGTGGAAGGAGTCCGGACTCTTTGCCGGTAAATGATGGATATGGCCGTGGAGAGGCAGACTCAGCTAAGGACGACCAGCACATCAGGGACAGGTGTTCAGGTGTGGGGACGTGTGTGTGTGTGTGTGTGTGTGTGTGTGTGTGTGTGAACACAGCAGGGATCCGGAAGCCGGGGTCCAGGACATCCCCCATGTCTGCAGTACAGCTGACACGGCGCCCTCCCTGCAGGGGGAATCCAGGAGCCTTGCTCGACACACGAGCGCGCGGTCTGTGGCTCAGCATTAGGGGGTGGGAACCAGGCTGCCCACCGAGATCCGGCATCTGGCAGGGGTGAGGGGCTGCGGTAGCTCAACCCTCTAGGGAAGGCCGCAGCGCTGAGTCGCGAATCCTGGAAACCCCTGGCCCGCGAGCCGCCCTACCCCACCCTAAAGTCCCTCCCGCCTGCGCCCCACTCGCTTTCCCCGGTTCTCGGCCCCGCCCAGAGCGGGCTTCCGGGAGGCGCGGGCGGCACTGCCGGGAAGAGCTCCTCCGGGCGGGGCGGCCGCGTCTGCAACCCGCAGTCTCGGGCTTGTGCCGGTCGGGGCGCTGCTGAGACCCAGGTGACTGCGGCGGCGCAGCCCAGGTCGGCGGGTGCTGGGCGCGTGCTCGGGTAGAGGCCGCGCGGGCACGACCTTCCTGGAAAGCATTTGGCAGCAGGTGTCAACAGGGGCGGATGCTCAAGCCCTTTGATACGGGAATTGCGCTCAGAGAGGGTTTCCCCGTAGGGAACTCTCGAAGCGGAAACTGGCCACCCCAGAACTTTAGCGTGGGGCGTTGGGGCGCGGCCCGGCCCCCCAGCCCACAAAACCCACGGCGCCTTCACTCCGCTGCAAGCGTGAGGGGTGGTGGTCTCGGCCTTGAGGGGGTGGTCTGACTGGGGGAAATCCCCCAGCCCGACTGGCGGCCCGACGATCCCGGTGGGCCTTGATGCTGACTGCGGATAGACCCTCCCCAATACCCCAAGCGCGCCCAGTCTCCATGGACAGGGACAGTCTGCCCCGGACGCTCGACCCTCCGGCAGCTCTCAGGCCGTGGATGAAGGTGGTGACCCCATCCTTCCCTGGGGGTCCCTCCGCTCGACTGGATACCGGGAATGCGTCCTCCCAGCCATCCTGGCTGTGGCGGGATAGGGATACACGGCCGCAGCCCCCACTCCCCGGCCCACACCGCCCACCTCCAGCAGGCGCCTGGCGGGGTCTTTCCTGTTTTGCTCCACAGTCTGATTTGTCACAGGGGCAGGAAAAGAGGAGAGCACCCCACCACTCCCAAGGCTGGGGCTGTGTGCCCAGGGGGTCCGCTTCCTGTCCCACCCACCACCATGGGGTCTGAACTTTTCACAACAATCTGGGTGTCGCTTATGAACCTTCTAACATCAAAAAGCAGGGTCTGATGTCCACTAGACAAAGGACACCGCCTGTCCCCCAGGGCACACATGCCCCGCCATCAGGGAGGTGCCCAGATCTGAGAGCCAGGTATGGGAGCCCTCCTACGCCTGCCCCCTCTGTCCTGGGCTCCACCTGGCATCCAACACCAGTACCTCATTCTTGGAGGGTGGGGGGCTCTATGCTGCCCCCCTCGACTGAAAACGCTGCTCAGCTGCTGATGAGAGGACAGTGTTCCTTGTGTGGCTGCCTGGGAGCGGGGGTGGCGTGCCAGCCCCCGGCATCTCGGGCAAAGACTGGCACAGCCCCCACCCGAGGGCCAAATTGTGCATTCACACTGGGCCCTGGCTATTAATAGCTTGCCTCAGTCACTGAGCTGCTATAAATAGCTCCCCCCCCCCAGTTCCTCACATCGACGTTGAGCAGTGCCCAGCGTCCACACAATCGGCCATGCTCTAGCTGGACCGGGCCCAGGGCCACTGGCCCGCCCCTCAACAGCCTTCTCCCTGTGCCCCAAGGGTGCACCCACAGCCAATGGGTGCAGCTGGGATCACCTCTGTGTGCAGCTCTGAGGCCACATGGCCAAGAAGCCTGTGCTGGCTCTCTTCCCTGTCCTCTCCTACTGGTCAGGCCTTGTGGGCCACCAGGAGGACTACTTCCAGGGGTGCAATTTCCCTTCCCCCCTCTTGGTCCACTCCAGCGGGTTCTTCTGTTCATTGGGGGGGGGGGGGCACAGACCCTTAGCTGCTCCCATCAGTGTGAAGAGAGGACCCCCAGGGGTAGGTACAGGCCCTAGGTACTGCCCACTCACATTGGGCCCAGCCCCTAGGTTTTCACTGATCTCCCTCCCTCCCTCCATGAGGTGGGCACCATGGAAGTCCCCATCCCCACGTGCCCAGGGGCCTCAGAGGGCTGCCCAGGAACGCATTCCCACTCAGGCTGGCCCCAGTGGCTAGTGAAGACAGGGTCAGGATCCGGGCTGGGGCCACCCCTGTCAGGAAAACAACCCTGTTTACGGGAAGGCCTGTCCGTGAGGCGGCCGGCCGCCTTCCTGTAGGACACAGGCCCTTTGTTGGGAAAAACAGGAAGCAAGAATTGCCAAGAGGCATCAGGCCACCCGTCGGCCACCCACCCCACTTCCGCCGATTCTCACAGCCTCTGCTGGCCTGTCCATCCATCTGCGATATCTGGCTGTGAGGCCTGTTGCCCAGGTTTCCAGCTGTGGGGTAAAGCCACTCACAGAACCCCAGCCCCACAGAGAGGGGAGGGCACCTGGAGACCACGCCCCCTGCAGGACCCTTGGTCATAGGATGACAAACATGGTGCCATGGCCAGTGGGGGCCTGACTTTACCTGGGGCTTGGTGGGTCATTGGCACCCGCAGGCAGCAGTGCCATGTGGGCACCAACTGTACAACCAGCATGGTGTGAGCCAACTGAGAGCCCAGGCCATGCATCAGTCAGATGGCGGGAGACCCCGAGGAGTGAGGAGCCATGGGACCTCGGGCAGGCCCCCAGGAGAGGGGCAGTGGGGGTAAAAAGGGGCACAGGAGTGTCTGCGGAGGAGCTCAACTACTCCCTTTCCCTCCCATCCTGGCCCGAGGACCAGGCAGGTCCAAGGTCAGTGGGCACCAAGCCCCTACTACCTGGGCCAGCACCCAGCCCATGTCCCCCACACTGGTCACTGACTACATGATACCACAAGACGTATGCACACACGTGTATAGCCCATACATACATATACTCTCATGTGTACATGCACACAGCACACACATAAACACTCAGGAATGCATGCACGTACACAGTTGGATGTGCAGACATGCACACACAGACACACACACACAACCGTGTACAAGCAGACACATACACTAACATGAACGAGCAGACACATACACCCACATGCATGTACACCCATACACATGTACACAAACGTGAAGGAGCAGACACAGACACCCACACACATGTACACCAACATGAAGGAGCAGACGCACCCACACACATACACACGTATGAATGAGCTTATGTGCATGTTTATGCATCACCCACACTCACGCAATTTAACACTCTCACATGTGCGTGCATGTACTCGTGCATGGGCACACACTCATCAGTCAGGGCACACTCACACATGCACAGACATGCAGGTGTCCTTGTCAACACAGTCACCTCCATCTCCACAGCATGAGTGCAGCTTCACCCCACCCCCAAGCCTGAGGAGGGCAGTTAGTCCCTGGGCGCTCCCCAGCTGGCCTGCATGGGCCAGCCCTAGTCCAGCAGCTGTGGCCTGCTGCATGGGGTGTCCTGTGGAGGTGAGATGACTGATAACCCCGGGGGTCTGGAGTTGCTTGTCAGCTTCTGAGGGCTTGCTGCCTGCCCTGCTTGGACCCCTGAGGCTGCATTGGCCTACGAGGACCTGCTTCCCACCCAATGCACCCTGGGCACTCTGGGATGAGTGGTGACTTCAGGTCATCTGGAGAAGGACAATCTGCTCCCCCTGCCCAGCCACACACCCTTGGAAGCATTAGTGAGGGAGAGGATGATGTGTTGGGGACACTCCCAAGCCAGGCTCCAAGTAGCCCTGCCAGCTCTCTCCCCCAGCCCGTGAGAATCTGCCACATCCTCAAGCTGGCTGATGCTCCCAGGCTGACTGGTGTTGGGATTGGCTTTTGAAGACCCCTCTCACCAGGTGCCGGCAGAGGAGGGACCTGGGTGTTCCAAGCATCTGTACTGCAGACTCTGGCTGTGAGTGGCGGATGAGAGACAGAGAGGCCCTGCGGTCCCTGCAGAGAGCACAGCTGGGGGTTGACTCAGGTGAAGGCCCCTGCCCTTAGGGCCTCCGTCCAGCTCCTCAGGGCAGGACATGTCCGGTAGGGGAGGTGGGAGAGTAGGGGGTGGGCAGAGCTGGAGGGCTCAGCATGGTCCTGTCTGAGAGGAGGTAGACCCCTCAGAACCTGCACCCACCATCTAGGGAAGTCTACAGTATTCATTCAGGTGAGGGAGGGACCAGTGGATGTGGGGTTGAGGTGAGGTAAAGGCATTTGGGAGGGAGAGGGGGAGGGGCAGAACCTGGGTTCTGAAGACAGGTTGTGGGGAGGCTGCAAGGTTGGCAGTACCCCCCCACCCCCCCGTAGGGTGCTAAAGCGAGCACAGAGGCAGTATCTTGGGGCAGGGTTCAGATGCGGTGGGGTGGGGTCTGGGGGCACAGCAGGATGGAGAGGAGTGTAGTTAGGGTAACTGCAGCTCTAGTCTGAGATATGGGATGGTTCCATGGATTGGATAGGATTGGCTGAGTGTCACCTTGTGTGGGAGGAAGAGTCTCACAGAGTCAGAGGACCAGGGATGGGGAGGGGGGCACCAGGAGCTCAACATAGCCCCTGTGGTCTCAAGTCCAGACCTGGCTGCCCTCGAAGGCAAGCTGATGGCCAGCCCACAGCCTGGACCTCTTCCAGAGCAGTGGCCTTCTCATCTCATCAAGGCGCCCAGCAGACCCAGTAGGCCAGACATACAGCAGGTGCTCACAGACACCCTTTTGGGGCACTGAATACCCCTGTAAGCCCACCACTCTGAGAGAAGAAGGGGGCCACAGAGGAGTCTGGTTGCTGGAATTCTCCCAGGACAGCGACCACCCATGATGCCTGAGTCAGAATCCCAGGCTGGGATTCCATGTGTCGGTGCTTCCAGGTGTCCATGTGTCTGTGAGCCCATTCTTCTATGTGCCCAGTCTCTGAAGCAGCAGGCCCCAACAAGCTCCCGAGAATCTTCACTTAATGGTGAATAAATGGGTGAACCCACCTGTCTGTCCACACCTTTCCCTGCCACGTTCCTGTGCCTTATATAATGAATAGGTGAACAAGCTGGCCAACCCAGCCCCATCTGCTCCCTGCTGACCGCTGGCTGGCCATTCTGGTTCCCATCTCCCCATCCTAAGCAAACAGGGAAACCGCCCCAACACTGTAGCTCCCAAAGCCACAGGCAGCGCCAGGGCGTCTGGGGGGGGGGGTAGGGCTGAGGCCTCTCCCTTCTGCTTGCTGGGGACACAAAGCCCCCGCTGTTACCTACCACAGGGAGTCCTAAGCAGGCCCCAGGGGGTGGCCAGCTCTGGTGAGTGAGCAGGGTCAGGCCAGGTTGGAGCCTGAGCTGACTGCAGACACAATCCACCGTGGTAGGCAGCCCAAGGGTGTAGGTCAACTCTGCGGCCCCAGCCCAGTGCTCTGCGGGCGCCCTCTTAGATTCTTGCTAACTCAATGGAGCAGAGGAGGTAGAGCCAGGCTGGGCCCACATGAGCTTGCTGTTCCCAGGTACTCCAATGCACAGACCTGGGGGCGCACGATGTGGGGGCCTGTGCACCTCCAAGGACGATCCGTGGGGGGACTTGCATTCGGGAAAACAGTGGACCTTTGTGATAGGGTTTAGTGTCAACTTAGCTAGGCCAGAATTCTCAGTGGCTTACCAGTTAAGATGTCATTATCCCCTCTAGCATGATGCAATCCCTCCCACATGGGTCTGAGGTGATCAGCTCTGATCCAATGCAGGTATCCTCTGTGAGTGGATGTTAGTGGAGTCCTGGGGGGGTGAGGGGGGCACTGCAGGATAAACACTGGACCGCAAGGTTGTTCGAACCGAAAGCTTGGTGGTTCAAACTCACTAGCAGCTCCTTGGAAACCCTATACAGGGTCTCTGTGAGTCAGAACAGACTCAATGGCACTTAACAACATGATGTTAATGAGGTCAGTTGCAATGTACAATCTACAGGATAAGGTTACATCTCAAGTCAATTTCTCTTGAAATATAAAAGGAAAGAGAAATGAGCCGAGCTCTGAGGAACCTCCCACCACCCAGATGGAAGACCCAGGAGTGGAGTGTGTGGTTGGACTTGGGGTCTCTGCATTGAGAAGCTCCCAGATCCAGAGGAAGATCGATCCCAAGATGCAAGGAGAACTCCAAGGAACGCTGGGATTACAGATGCTGAAAGGAGACAAGGGCCTTCCTCCAAAGTCGACAAACAGAGAGCTCTTCCCAAGAGCCAGTGCTCTGAACTTGGACTTCCAGACTCATAAACTATGAGAGAATACACTTATGTTTGTTAACGCCTCCCACTTTCTATCAGTATCCATCAAGTCACATGTGCAGAGTAGAACTGTAACCTTACAAGGCGGATTGTTGGCTCTGTCTCCCAAGGTGCTTCTGGGTGAATGTGAACCACCAACTCTTTGGCTAGTCGTCAAGCTCTTCACCATTTGTGCTACCCAAGGAGCAAATAAAACATCACAAGTCCAGAGAGACCAAGGAAGAAGGAAGTAGCTTTACATCTTAATATCATTCACATACCTGAAGAAAGCAAAAGGTCATTAAAAGACAGGAAAGAAAGAGCAAAACGGGTGTCAGAAGAGACTCTGAAACTTGCTCTTGAACTTGAAGAAATGATGACGTAAAAGAGCTGAACAGAAAATTTCAAAGGGCAGCTCTAGAAGATAAAGCATGATAATGAAATGTGCAGACACTTGGAGTTAGGAAACCTAAAGGGAAAAGCATCTTGCTCAGCATTTCTCAAGCTGAGAGAACTGAAGTAAAAAATTCAAGCCTTGATTTGTGATATTGAAGGATTCTATGGGCATGAGAGAAATACACAGAGTCACTGTACCTAAAAGAATTGGTTGATTCTGAACCATTTCAAGAGGTAGTATATAATCAAGGACTGACAATATTGAAGGAAGCAGTCCAAACTGCATTGGAAGTATTGGTGAAAAACAAGGGTCCAGGGATTGATGGAATGTAAATAGAACATTTCAACAAACCGATACAACACTGGAGTCACTCACTCATCCATGTCAAAATATTTGGAAGACAACTAGTTGGCCAACCAGTTGGAAAAGATCCATATTTGTGCCCATTCCAAAGAAAGATGACCCAATGGAATGTGGAACTCATCAAATAATATCATTAATATCACACAAGTACAATTTTGTTGAAGATAATTCAAAAACAGTTGCAGCAAAACATCTACAGGGAGCTACCAGGAATTCAAGCCAGGTTCAGAAGAGAACATGGAACGAGGGATGTTATTGCTGGGTCTTGGCTAAAAGCAGAGACTACCAGAAAGATGTTTACTTGTGGTTTATTGACTATACACAGGCATTCAACTGTGTAAATCATGACAAAGTATGGATAGCCTTGAGAAGAATGAGTCTTCCAGAACACCTCACTGTGCTCACGAAGAACCTAAACAAAGACCAAGAGGCAGTTGCTAGAACAGAACAAGGGAACACTGAATGGTTTCAGATCAGGAGAGATGTGTGTCAGGACCGTATCCTTTCACTGTACTTAGTTAATCATATGCTGAGTAAGTAATCTCAGGAGATAGATTATATGAGAAGAAACATGGCATCAGGATTGGAGGTAGACTCATTAACAATCTGCAATATGCAGATGATACAGCCTTGCGGACTGGAGGTAAAAAGGGCTTGAAATACTTACTGATGAAGATCAAAGCCCATAGTCTTCAGTGGATTGCACTTAAATATAAAGAAAATGAAATTTCTTTCAATAGGCCCAATAAATAGCATCGTGATAAATGGAGAAAAGATTGAACTCAAAGATTTCACTGGATCCACAATCAATACTCACAGAAGCAGCAGTCAAGAAATTAAGTGATGTAAAGAGCTCTGGTAGCGTAGTGGTTAGGAACTGGGCTGCTAACCTCAAGGTCAGCAGTTCGAAACTACCATCTGTTCCATGGGAGAAAGATGAGGCTTTCTGCTCCCATAAAGACTGGCAGCCTATGAGTCGGAACCGACTCCACGGTACTTAACAACAACAACAACAACAACATTGCACTAAGCAAATCTAAAAAAGATCATTTTGAAGTGTTAAGTAGCAAACATATCAGTCTGAGGACTAAATTGCGCCTGACCCAAGTAATCGTATTTTCAGTCATTCATATGCATGCACAACCTGGACAATTAATAAGGAAGATTGGAGAAGAATCTATGCATTTGAGTTATGGTTTAGCGTTTAGTGAAGAATACGGAATACACCTTGGACTTCCAGAAGAACAAACAAATCTGTTTTGAAAGTAGTGTGGCCAGATTTGCTCCTTGGAAGCCAGGATAGTTAGACTTCATCTCTCATACTTTGAGCAAGTTATCAGGAGGGACCAGTGCTTGGAGAAGGACATTGTGCTTGGAAAAGGGGAGGGTCAGTGAAAAAGAGGAAGATCCCCAACGAGATGGATTGGCACAATGGCAGCAACAATGGGTCCAACTTAACAACAATGTTGAGGCTGGCATAGGACTGGGCAGTGTTTTATTCTGTTGTACACGGGGTCACTGTGAGTCGAGGGGAGGGCACCTAACACCACCAACTATTCACGTTGTTTTGAGCAGGGGCTTGCGCTTTCATTTTGCACCAAACCCTCTGGAGTTCATTCTGATTCCTAAGCAGCCTATAGGAAAGGGCAGAACTGCTCCCTAGGGTTTTTGAGACTGAATCTTCAGGGTTCAGACAGCCACAGCTTTCACCCTTAGAGCAGCTGGTGAGTTTGAACCACCAGCGCTCCTTTAATTTTGCACTAGATGCCTGAAAACGATGTCACCAGCAGGGCCATTGTTGTGGAGAGCTGTTGCTCGATGACATAGGGAGAAAGGAATGGGACCCACAGGCTTTTCTGCCTGCCACCAGCAGGTCTTCCTCCTGGCCTCAAGCTCTCATCTTCTGCTAGCCCGAACTGCCCAGGGTAGCTGTGTGGACTCGGCCCAGTTTTACACAGGTGGTGAACGGTAAGGGACAGAGTTAGGGAATGATTAACGTACACTCTATGTAAGGACGGGTGTGTTATGCTAGGTGACCTGGGGCAGATCCACTGCTATTTGAATGGTGCCAGATGGTCCAAGGTCTTTCCTACTGGCTTGAAGGAGGCCGCCAACAGCGTCAATGTGACACCTGTGTGTGGTATGAAGCCATTCCTTGGACATGTCTGCCCACCCACTGGAACCACTTGGGACTTGTTAAATGCAAGTTCTGCCGTGACTTGTGGTCGGCTCCCCTAATAGGCCCACAGCCTCCATCCCTGATTTCGAAGCTCTGTGAATCAGGTTGGGCCATCTTGTGAAACACAAGGGACATTTCACAGTCTTAGTATGAAGAAAGGGCGCATCCCAATTTTCTATTGGCGAAGCGTTCAGGTAACAACCTGGGAGGACAATGGGTTGAGTCGAATCTGTTACGAATGCATTATTGTCCCCTCACTTTTCTGAATGAGGCTCCTGGACAGAAACGGCCTGTGTGGTCATGTCCACATCCTGCTGTTACTGGGCAGCACTGGTCTTGAGGACCCCTTCTCCAGACGGAGTGAGACATGTGACCACATTCTTTCCTCTTTAGAGTCTAGCTCCAGTAGATTGGATGGGTCTAGAAGACCGTGGCCTGACTGAGAGCAGAGGATTGGCGGACGGTGGCCGATACAGTTAGTCCCCCTCCCCAGCAGAGTGAGCCCCCCCATTCACTCTCCATGTCCTGACCACTTGCTATTCAGTTTAATATTCACTTCAGCATGCCCCCTGTTTTCCTGACCTGCGCTTTAGTACGCCCTACTCTGGCAGTCTGACCCCAACCTCTGTCCTCAATGCTGGGGTCTCCAGCAGATCCACATGCTCCCTGCCATCCCACAGTCCTGCCTCCCCCTCCCAGAAGTGGGGGACCCCACCCCCGTCCCACACCAATGCAGGCCCTCGGGTGGGACAGTGGCCTTTTACCATCCTCAGCTCTGGGGAGGACCAGGGGCCCGGAGGAGGCCTGCTCCTTTGAGAGCAGACCCTAGCCGGAGGTGGGCCTGGGCAGTGAGGTCTTTAGGCCTGGATGCTGGCTGGGCTCAGGTCTTCCTATCAGATCTATAGGGTCGCTCACTCCATTTCTCAGATGAAGACGCTGAAACCACCTGGGTCTTGGGCCTGTCTATGTGTCCCAGAGCCCCCAGTTCCATCCCAGGGTCAGCAGGTCTATGGAACACAGGTGGGCAGTGTATGGGGCTCAGGTGTGGGCGGGGCTGTATGGACTTGGGCTGGGGGGTTTGTGAGCAGTGGAATCCACTCTGCCAGCCACAGGACATACTTGGGCACCCTGGGGCACACACTAGCTCCTTCCAGGGAACCCATTTGTCATGCAAATATCCCTTTTGGGGCCCTGCCAGTTCCCCTGTGGCTTTCAGAGCTGGGTACCTGTCTGGGCCAGCCTTGGAGACCAGCCACGTCCCTGAAGAAGTTCAGGGCAGTGGTGGACCCCAGCCTAAAAGCCACACTGCTCTGGGATGTGACCACTGCCCAGCTGGAAGTGGGGGACTGCAGCCTCAATACCAGGCCACTTGGGCCAGTTCCTGTGCCTGAGCCCTGGGAGCTGAGCCTGTTGCCCCCCCACCACCACCACACAGGAGATGAGTGACAGGGGGGTTCCCTTTGTCTGCGGGATGGGACTGCTGCTCAGTGAACCCGGAGACACTGTCACCCCTACGCAGCCTGGGAAGATCTCAAGGTTTCCATAGTGGGGGAGGGGCGGGGTTCGCCAGAACCATTTCAAGGCCAAACTGGGAACAGCGCCCCTCTCCCCCCCCACCCCCGTGCCCCAGTCTTCCCAGAAGCCGGCCCTTGGGAAAGACCTCTGGAGACTCCCTGAGCCTGACCCCCAGGGGCCCCTTGACATACGACAGGGCAGTGCATGTGGGGTGCCCCGAGCCTGTCCTGTCCCCTTGAACACAGTGTCCTCTGGGTGGGTGACCCTGAAGGATCTAAGTTAGAGATAACAAGATGGTCACTTCTACTGTATGGGGGTGGGGGGAGTGCATGGGGAAGAGGCCTGCCGGACCCCCACAGAGCAAGTCCCCTGTACCTCCCCGCAGTGACTCCAGGGGTACCCCTCACAGTGACCTCACCACACCCACTCAGATACCAGAGGGAGGGGCTGTACTGTGGGCTCAGACCCCGGAGGGGAAGTAGAGTAAGCATCCCTGCTGGGGGAGACTGGACCGAGAGAGAGCAAGCCTGAAGGTGACGGGACTGGGGAGACCGTGGGGTTCAGAGGCCGCCTCTGGGGAGGAGCCAGTCCTGGCGGCTGGCGTGGGGGACGTGCCAGGAACAGCCATGGTGTGTATGTATGTGTGTGTGTGTGGGGGGGCGTTCTGGGGCCATGGTCACTAAGAAGGGGCTTCCTGGGGCTGTGGGGCCACATGGGATGCTGGGTCTGGGAGGACCCTCCCGGGGCCGTTCACCCATGCCCCGGTGAGGAACTCCAGGCGTCTCAAGTGGCGATAGTGGGGCCCCGGAGTGGGGTCGTCTGACGCCAGGTTGAGAGCGGGGGTGGGGTGGGGGAGAGGGGCGCAGAGAGGCAGGCGACGCCAGGGTGTCCGGGACCGCGTCTCCTGCTGGCTCCACGCCACCGTCCGGCCGCGGCCCAGGACACGGTGTGCTGCTGGCACCGGGCGTGGGCTTGCTCAGGGCGCCTAAGCCGCAGACGCCACGGCCGCCCGGGACAGGGGCCCATTGTCCGCCCGGCGCTGCTGCCACGCCCCCCACGCTCTCCACCCCTACTCCGCCCCAATGCCCGCCTCCTACTCTCCACCCAGTCCCCAGTCCCCCTCTGTCCCACCCCTGCCCAGCCCTACGGCTTCCCCGCCCTTCCGATGCCCCCCCCCCCGGTCTCCCCCAGCGCCTTTACCCCCTCCATCTGCCCAGTTCCCATTCTGCCTGGCTCTACTGCTGCCCCAACCCCGCCCACCTTCCCCACCAGCCAACACTGCTGTCCCAACACTGGAGAGCCCGCTGGCCTTTGGGTCCCGACCGCTCTGGGTCCCTAGTTCCCCCATCTTGATGTTGTCCTCCTTGCCCCCAACCTGAGGTTCCCCTTGATCCACTGACAGGCCCCCCCTCCAGGGCAGATAATCCCCCTCCCCCAGAGGCAGGGGTTCTGAAGCAGAGGTGGACTCACAAAGACCCCTAGATGTTCAGGAGAGTGGGTTTCCTGAAGGAGGGGACCTAAAGGAGAGGGCAGCAGTTAGTCATTGCTGGGGTGGGGGTGATGGTGATGTCAGGCTCAGGCCTGGGAACCTAAGACTGGAGGAGGTGGCAAGGAAGGGGAGGGGAAGTCTGTGGAGGTGAGGGAGTTGGGAAAGGCTGAGTTATCAGGGGAAGTGTGGGAGTCCTGGGGGGGGGTGTCTCAGGAGGTGACGGGAATGAAGGAAGATAAGGGAGGACCAGAGGAGGTGATGAGGTGACGGGGTTGGGAGAAATGAAGGGGGTGAGGAAAGGTGAGGGGG